TGTAATCTCTCCCTGCCGTCTGTACAGTAGAGATAACCATAGTACTTACTCAGGGCTTGTGAAGGCTGAAGGAGCGCCGCACGCACAGTGTGTACAACAGTGCCCAGCACGAAGTAGGTGCTCAGCACGTAGTAGCAATTATTATTGCTTCCTTCTCACCTCACTCAGAGCTGGATGTCGACAAATAACCTGTTCTCCAAATCTGCCTCTTGCTCAAGCTCGGTGACTAAGGCGCAGCCACCTGGTGCTAACCACCTCCTACCCCTAGAGGCTCAGCTACAACACTCGGCCCACAAACCTCTGTCTAACCAAACCACTGCAGGCTCCTGCCCTTGATTCATCTGCATCCACCCCAGGCTGCTTGGGTTGGGGAAGAAGTGCTGTCGCACCGTGGGGTGCCTCCGCCCCACACTACCCTCCAGACATATGTGGGAGCCATCGCTTCCCTCTGAGCTGGCTGGGAATGGAGGAGTGCGGTGGAGAGCATCTGGGGTGGGGCCCAGGCGCCCACCCTGTGGGACTGGAGAACAAAGAACTTGTCACAGGGGGGAGGCTGAGGGGATTCCAGCTCCTGGGGATTCATGCGTGGCATTCCAGAGTGGGCGGCAGCTGGCACTCACCCTGGGTACAAAAATGGCAGGGCCCCCTCAGGAGTCAGGGCCAGGTTGTGCCAAGGCCCCGGTGGCATTGCGGCTCCACCATTGTTGAACAGCTGTGCCGCCCTCTCGGCATAGGGTTTGAGAACTGGGGCAGGAGTGTCGGCTCAGCCAGGGCAAGAGGAGGGTTTAGGGAGTGGATGGACACACACACAAACACACACACACACACACACGCAGAGTCCATGAGGGTGCAGATGCCTGGCCTAGGCGGGAAGGAGGGAGAGCGTGGAGTGTGAATGTGTGTAGGTGTGTGTGAGTGGGGCAGATGGCTTTGTGGTTCTGTGGGTGTGCTTGAGTGTGCATGATATCTGTGTGTTTACCTATGTGTGTGCACCACTGTTTTGGTGTGTCTCTGCCTGAGTTTGTTGTCCGGGTGAGGGTAGGTTGTCGAGCTACTTCTGTCTTTGACTCTGCTTTAGCCTCTCAGCAACTCAGCAAAGAGATTTTCCTTTTTGGGAGGGTGGGAAAATATAGCTCATCAGGGCAGTATGGGCCGACGCTTTATAAACACACATAGATCACAGGACATTCTCGTGTGTGATCCTTAGCTTCCCGCAAAGCTGGGGTTTATACACATTTAGAAGAGAGAGAGCCGAGTCCTGTGTGTGTGAGTGTTTGCGTCATTTCTATATGTCTTACCACGTGCTAATTATGTGTGCTTGTTTATTTGATGTGTTTGTCACTCTGTCTCCATGGCAGTAGCCGTGTCTATAGTTGGGTGTGTACCTAAGTGCTAGGTTTACGTGTAGCTTTGTTTCTAGTGAGGTTTGCCTTTAAGAAGTAATGTAACAGAGTTAGAAGCAGAGGTTCCACGGTTAGACAATCCTAGGTTCAAATCCTGGTTTGGACAGTAACCAATCCATTAACCCTGGACAAGTTCCTTAACTTCTCTACGTTTCAGTTTTCTCACAGGGATAATAATAGCACTAATTTCACACGGTTCTGGTGAGGATTAAATGAGATCATGTTGCACACCTGGCACAGGTCGGAATACAATAATGGTCCTGTTTTTGAACGTGCTTCTCTCTGAGAGCCATGTCCCCTTGGTTGTGACTGCAGTGTGTGATATCTCAGCCAGATTATAAACTGCTTTGGGGAAGAGCATGAGTCTTAATTATCTTTAATGGCGCTTATGACACCTCAGTGCCACCTTGGTGCCTTGTACCTATGTCATCTGGAGGTGAAACGAATTAAACAGGTGTGTGAAACAGGACTGGTGTCCGATGCACGCCCACACCTGGTAATGCATGGTGGGCCAGTGGGAAGCTGGTCATGGCATAGTGACGCCACAGCACAGCCAGGCGTCGGGGGCCCCACGGTCACTACTGCATACCCCACCCATGTGTCTCTGCAGTCCCAGGCTTCCTCCTCCTACATGTCCCAGTCTGGCCTTGACACTCCTGGAAAGGCCTCCTTCCTGCTCCTTTCTCTGCTCACCCACCCCAGGGGCGCCCCCGGGGTCCTGGTAGGCTGGTACGTTTTTAATGGGTGTGGTGAGTGGTTACAGGAGTGCTCTCCAGTCTGCACGATGTATTCTTCTTTGCAGCATGTGCGTGTGTTTGTGCATCGCTCTGTGGGGGTGTGTGTCTGTGAGACATCTTTCTGCGTGAAGCCCCTCTCCGTCACAGTGGGGACATGTGTCTGTATGTGTGACAGCACCTCGTGCCTGGGGTTTGTTCTCCTTCCCGGCTTTCCCAGTTACATAAGCCGCTGTGGGGCGAGTCAGGCTTGGGCTGTGGCTCCCCCAGCTGGCCGCCTCTGGAACCCACAGTCTGGGGAGGGGCCTGTGGAATAAGCTGCATTTTCCTGTTTTGCCTGAGCCTCCTCCCCTCTGGAGACACCAGCCCAGTTCTCAACACCTCGCCCCAAGCCATGGGTCAGGTCCCGGAAGATCCCTCTCATAATGCTCACTGCAGGTTGGTTATTACTTGTGTATGAAATGTCTCCCTAGCACGTATGACTACGTTCCCTAAGGGCAGGGGACCATGTCAGCCTTGTTTACCAGGCTCTCCAGTGCCCAGCACAAGGCTGGCCCAATCAGTATTTGTTGAATGAATGCATTTACCAGGTGGACAGGCTTGGGAGGAGGGACAGTGGGGCACAGGAAGATTTGCAGCTTTGAGGACAGACAGGCCTGGGCTTAAGTCACATCTTGGCCACTTCAAAGCTGTGTGGCCTTAGACAAGATACTTAACCCCCTGAATCTCAGGTTTCTCTTTTATTAAATGACACCACCTTGTAAAATATGCTGTAAAGACTAGAACTAATATCCAAAAGGCTTTATTGTGTAAGAATTTCATAAATGGCATCTATTATTATGATGATGATTGGTAACATCTTTCATCTCTCAAACGACAGGAAGGCATTAAATCCACTCAACTCCTAAATAAAGGGAGAGTGGGTTTTCTCCAAAAGCTTCCCTATGACTTTCAGTTTTCACATAGCACAATATGCCTATGGATGGATTTAGATGAAATGGGGCTGGAGAAACCAGGCTGTGGATATGTCCAAGTGGGAATAAACAGGCACCTGTTTCCCTATTCCTGGGCCAGTCCTGGCAGTACCGGGAGGCGAGGGCTGGACCCCTGATCTGCCTTCAAGTCCGCAATCATTCTGCCTCAGAGTTTCTCTGGGTTCCTGAAAGTGGCTTCAACTGCCAACTCTGTGAGCATTTCCTCTGAGTCAGACACTGTGCCATGTTCTAGGAATAGAAAGTCAAGGAAGGTCTGGTCTGGCCTGTGCCACTTCACCTCTCTGGGCCTTGGTTTCCTCCTCTGTAAAGGGAGGTAGAAAGTGAATGGGAGCGTGGGAGGTTGAGAGGGGACAGGTAGGGGGTTGGAGGGTGAAGGGTGCCAGGTGAGTTCTGGGGTCACCTCCCTTGATGACCACTTTAAATTTTGTTTTATTTTGTTTTTTTGAGATGAAGTCTCACTATGTTGCCCAGGTTGGTCTTGATCTCCTGGCCTCAAGCAATCTTTCCATCTTGGCCTCCCAGAGTCCTGAGATTACAGATGTGAGCACCTGGCCTGATGGCCACTTTGATAGCCTTGGCTTTGCAGACCTGGCTGTTCCTTCTTCCGGTTCTGGCCTCATCCTTCCTGCCCCTCCCCACTCCCCACCTCCCCCATAGCTGGGGAGGAGACAGAGCCCCAGGAAGGATGCCTCCTTCCTTCTCCCACCCTTCTCAGAACAGAGCAATGTCCATCTGTCCTCACTGGACGTAGAGACTCCTTCACCTAAACCCCAGGTCTAAACTAGGTCTAAACTGAACCTCTTAGGAAGCAGTTCAAATAATAATTCAAAACCGAAAACAAGACAAATCCCCTCTTACCTCCTAGCTTGTGTTAGTTACCCTGTGCCAAACGCCTTATGTACATTGTCTCAATTAATCGGCACAATAACCCTTTGGGTGGAAGTCGCCAACCTCAGTTCAATAGGCAGAGGAGAAAACTGAGGTTGAAGTTGGTTAAGCAACCAGACCAGGATCACCCAACCAGGAAGTGACGGCGCCGGGACGGCCCACCCTCCTGGCTCATTTTCCTTTGGTATTACCCTCTGAGGGGGACACAGACAAGTCTCCAGTGACCTTCCGGAGCCCCGAAGCGTCCTTCAGCTCAAACTCCTCACGTTCGGGAACTCCTGCGTCGCGCCCACCGCCACTTCAGCAGGGTGTGCTGCGAGGACTAGAGGCTCAGAGCAAATAACTGGATTCTAAGCGCGTGGCCGCAGTTACCTCCCCAACCCCAGGGCCCCTGCCCCCAACTGTCCGGGAAGGGCTGGCAGGTGCGGAGTGGGGTGTGCTCTGTGCGAGTGTGGGTGGGGATTAGGATGAGCTGAGGCGCCACCAGCCCTCAGGGGCCGGGGGCTGGGGCGGAGCCAGGACCGGGGGCGGGGCCGGGGCGGGGCCGGGGCCCAGTGCGGAGCCGGGGTTGGAGTCTGGCGGGGCGGGAACCCGGGCGGGGCGGGAACCGGGGCGGGGATGGTCTCGGAGGCTGCAGAGGGCGGGAGGGAAAGCAACGGGAGGAAGGGAGGAGGGAGGGGACTTGGCAGCTCCCGCTCAGCTCCGCTCGGCGCACCCACGCCTCGCTGCCCCGCTTCCTGCCCCCCACCCGGGCATGCGCCCCCTGCGGCCCCGGCCCCCCAGAACCCGCGCCGACCCCCGGAGTCTCCCCAGAGCCGGCCGCGCAGGATGGGCGCCCTTGGGCCCACGCCGCTGCCGCCGCCGCTGCTGCTGCTGTTAATGCTGGGTAAGCCTGGCCCCGGTCCCGGTTCCGGTTCCCGGCCCCACCGGGCAGGTGCCTGCCACCCGGCCCCCAGACCGGCTCGCCTCCTTAGCATTTTGGGGCTCCTCGTACCCCCTTCTCCAGCCTCCCCAGGCTCGCACCCAGCTGCCCCTTGTGGCCACCTGCCGAGCCAGTCAGGAGGAGAGTAGGGTTCCCAGTTTTCGCCCGGGGCTAGGACCCACTGAGGTGCCGCCCCAGGCACTGCCAGGCCTCCGGGGCAGGCCTCACTTCTCAGCCGGCGTACCCAAGTCCTGGGGTCGCTCTGCCAAATGCTGCGACTCCTTTCTGCCCCACACTCAGCTCCAGGACTGGCCTTGGGTGCCCGCCCTGCGTGGGCAGTGCCTGCCTGGCCTCATAATTGCCCCAGAGTTGGCTGGAAGCCCAGGGGCCAGTTCTGCCCACGGTCTTTGAAGTAAGTCTCCCCTAATTGCCCTCCCCATCATCTGAGGTTGGGGGCAGTTCCCTCTCTCACTGCATCTCCACCCTCTGCTGGGCCCCTTTTTGCCCTTCTTCTTCCCCTCTCCCAAATGCATTTGGCTCTGCAGCCTCCCACCAGTTGTCACACCCCCTTAGTCGCAGCCTCCTTGCCTCAGGAGAAACCAGGTTCCGTGGAGACTGATGCTGGGATCTCCAAGCACCCTGTGTCTGTCATGGTGGGTGTTCATGGTGGGGTGTTCTGGGCCAACCTTGCCTCGGTGCATGGGGGTAGTGACAGCAGATTGTTTTTGGCCTGAACTGGAGGGCTCCCTGTAGGAGGTGGCCTGGGGAAGAGTGTGGCATGGAGACAGTGAAACTGCCTGCACAGATGTTGAGAAGACTGAAGCCCTTGAAATGAGGGTGCAGTGTGGGGGTTGGGGTTGGGGATGTCAGTGGTGACTTCAGAGCTGCTGTAGTCAAGGCAGAGGCTGATGGTAGCCTTAGGCCTGTTTCCAGACCAGAGCTCCACAGTGGCACCAAGCAGTTTTCCCTTGCTGCGGTTCCCAGGCCCCATGGGGCTAGGATGAGTCCTCTTCTTGGGGCCCTGGGCAGGAGGCAGGAGGGGGTACAGAGAGGAAGGAGCTGTGGGGCCCGGTTGCCTAGCACTTGGTTGGTTTTCCCCAGTGGGCAGCATGGAGCAGGGAGGAGCCCGGGGAGGTGGGGAAGTGCCGCTCACAGGAGGAGTGAACCTGCTGAGATCTAAGCACCCACTGTATTCATTTCACAGACAAGGAAAATGAAGTCACTTGACCCAGAAAACGCATTTAGTGAGTGTTGGGACTAGGACTTGAACCCAGATTTGACTCCAAAGCAGGCCTCTGCTCTCCCTTCCCTTCTGTTGCTAACATAGAGGAGGGGCCTGTCTGGGGAGAGAGAGCTGAGTGGCAGCTGATTTCCTAAGGCTGTGGGGGTGACTTTCCCATGGGGATCTCCAAACCTCAGCAGTTGTGGAGCCAGGAAGGTGGGAGGGAGCCCTTCGGAGCAGAGTCTGCCCTGAGGCAGCCAGGGAAGGTGTCAGCTGGGCGGTCTCCACCTGCATCCCAATTATGAAACTGCCTGGGGCAGGGCCCTCCTGAGTCACACGCTCACTTACTGTCAGAGCTGGGAGCTCTTAGTTCTCCAGTGTGGAAACTGAGGCCTGGGAGAGGAAGGGACTTGGTCCCAGGCTATACAGCTGGGGGTGGGAATGGAGGTGGGAGCCAACCTCCTGACTCCCAGCCTGTGCCCTAACCAACAGACCACGAGTTTTCCCGTGACTCAGCCAGAGGAAGAAGGAAGGGGCTAAGAGCCCAGCTGGGGGTGGGGGTAGTTCAGAGGAACCATTCTAGAGGAGCTGGAGGGCAGAATTTGATCACAGACTCCTGGGTATTTCCTCTAGCCCCTGTAGAAAGGCCAGGGATATTCCCTGGGAGGCCTGGCAGTGATACTCCGGCTGGTGAGGTCAATCCCTTCAGGCCTGGCCTTGGAGTTTCCCAGTCTTCCTCCCTGGTTTTGTCCCTCTGCAGGGGTGTGCAGGAGCCATCTAGGAATAGCAGGATCTTGGCCAAGATGTTGTACTGCTCCTGCCTTACCTTTCTCACCTGTGAAATGGGGGAAGGGGCCATGGAAGCATGGAAGGAGAGAAGGGAGAAGCCAAGCCCTCCAGGGCCTGCCAGGGGTATCTGCTGGGGTAGGGTCAGGCAGAGACGTTTGGCCTCTGATACCAGATGAGAAGGGGCTGCTGGGGGTTCAGTGCCTCCCCACGGAAAGGGAGCTATCATATGTAAATCATTGCACTGCATATGCAAATGAAGGCTTTGTTAGGGAGTTGGGGAGTGTGGTGCGTCAGCTGGGCTAGCCTAGCCCAGCCAAGAAGGTTGACAGGCACTGGGGGAGGGGATCTTCTGCCCCCAGGCCGGGGCAGAGCCTGGATCTTTCCCCAGAAGCCCCAGCTGCCTTGACGGCCCTGTGGGGTGGGAGAAACAGTGAGCTCATGGCACAGCTGCAGGGGGAGGGCATCGTGTGGTGAGGACTGACTGGGTCTGTGCCCCGTCCAGCCTGGGCCACTGGCTCCATTGTCTGGCCCAGGTGACACAGCTGAGCCAACCAGCCCTTCTGAGCAAGATTTTGCCAGCTCCCCTCAAGCAAAGGAGGGGACATGAGGTCCCAGACTCCCCTAGCCAGCAGGCTCCCCTGACCAGGCCCTGAAGAAGGAATGGCAGACATGTAGTGGGCGAAGAGGTGGGGGCAGAGCAAGGTCCAGCTGGAACCAAGGACTGGTTAGGTCAGGAATCAGAAGCACTTGTCTCTGCCCGCAGGGGTCTGCTTCTGGTGGGTCAGAAGTGAGATGCAGCTGAGTTCTGAGGCCAACATAGGCCTAGCCCACTTCCTTGATTCCCAGGTGTCTGATGACCCGCCATCCTTTCCTTGTTCTCAGAACAGGGTCCCAGCTGTACCAATTTGCCCCAGGTTTCCTTTCCTTTCACAGCAGGGGTCAAGAATGGTGCTGGTGGGGGTCAGGCGTCTCCAACTCCTTCTGCCTTCCCCTACAGGATTCGGGGGCTGGGCCCGGGAGGTGCTGGTCCCCGAGGGGCCCCTGTACCGAGTGGCTGGCACAGCTGTCTCCATCTCCTGCAATGTGAGTGGCTACGAGGGCCCTGCCCGGCAGGACTTCGAGTGGTTCCTGTACAGGCCTGAGGCCCCAGAGGCTGCACTGGGCATCATCAGTACCAGGGATCCCCACTTCTCCTACGCTGTCTTCGGGCCCCGAGTGGCGGCTGGTGAGGTGCAGGTGCAGCGCTTACAGGGTGATGCCGTGGTGCTCAAGATTGCCCGCCTGCAGGCCCAGGATGCTGGTGTTTACGAGTGCTACACCCCCTCCACTGACGCCCGCTACCTGGGCAGCTACAGCGGCAAGGTGGAGCTGAGAGGTACTGGGCCCTGGGATGGGGCTGGGGCCACACCTACCCTCAAGATAAAAAGTCAGGGCCAGGAGGGACCTATCTAATTACCCCTCAGGTTTTGCAGCTGCGGAACTTGAGGCCCAAAGAGGTTGAATGACTTGTACAAAGTCACCCAACAAATCAGTGGCTGGTGTGGGACTCAAACCCAGACTCTTCATTCCAGTCCAGTCTTCCTATCATGTCAAGCTACCTCCTGGGGGAAGGGGAAGTGTCCTTAAGGTGTCCAGTCCCCTCTCCATTCCTGATGGGGGGTGGAGAAGCCTGATGGGTGGAATAGACTCTACTCCTGGGGAATACAGGACCAGGTCTGGGGGAGAGAGTAAAGGTAGGGCAGGAGTTAGACCAGGTGACATTCTCCTTAAGTTTCTGTGTCTTCTGAGTATTTCAAACAGGGGTCAGTCTCAAACATCAGGGTGAGTAGGCAATAACTTGTTCTATGAAATTCAACAAGTATTTACTGAGCGCCTGTGGTGTGCCCAGCATGGTACTTGGCACCATTGAGTTATGGAAGAAATAATACAACACGCGACCCTTGCCCTCTAGGAGCTCACAGTCTATTTAGGGAAATGGGTTGTACGCAGGAAGCAGTAACAAGGGCTGCCAGCTCCCAGCCCTCCCTCACTCCAGCTGTCCTGTCCAGTTCTTCCAGATGTGCTGCAGGTGTCTGCTGCCCCCCCAGGGCCCCGAGGCCGCCAGGCCCCAACCTCGCCCCCACGCCTGACGGTGCACGAGGGGCAGGAGCTGGCTCTGGGCTGCCTGGCGCGGACGAGCACACAGAAACACACGCACGTGGCGGTGTCCTTTGGGCGAGCTGTGCCTGAGGCGCCAGTGGGGCGAGCGACTCTGCAGGAGGTGGTGGGACTCCGGTCTGATTTGGCTGTGGAGGCCGGAGCGCCCTACGCTGAGCGGCTGGCTGCAGGGGAGCTGCGGCTGGGCAAGGAAGGGACTGATCGGTACCGCATGGTGGTGGGGGGTGCCCAGGCGGGGGACGCAGGCACCTACCATTGCACTGCCACCGAGTGGATTCAGGATCCTGATGGCAGCTGGGCCCAGATCGCAGAGAAAAGGGCCGTCCTGGCCCACGTGGACGTGCAGACGCTGTGTGAGTGCCACACATCCCACTGTGGGAGCTGGGAGGGATGGTACCTTGGTGGGCACCGTGGCCACGGGGGGCAAGAGATGGCCATCATCTGACTCTGGGGAACTGGTCTTCCACAGAGTGAGCAGCCCCATTAGCATTTGCTTTCCTCTCTACCCGTGACGGATTTTCTCTGCTCAGAAATTGGGTGTGGAGATCGGAGGGCTTTGGCTGCGGGGTGGGATTCAGGCCCCTGGGTGGGAGATGGTCATACCCCACGAGGGCAGACAGGAGGCCTTGACGTTACTGCTGTCAAGGAAGGAATAGCAGGTCGGGGAATCAGGCACCTCCGGGCCCCCTCCTACCTCCCTGACACCCCTTCCCCACTCCTGTGTTCCAGCCAGCCAGCTGGCGGTGGCGGTGGGGCCTGGTGAACGTCGGATTGGCCCAGGGGAACCCCTGGAACTGCTGTGCAATGTGTCAGGGGCACTGCCCCCAGCAGGCCGTCACGCTGCGTACTCTGTGGGTTGGGAGATGGCACCTGCGGGGGCACCTGGGCCTGGCCGCCTGGTAGCCCAGTTGGACACAGAGGGTGTGGGCAGCCTGGGCCCTGGCTATGAGGGCCGGCACATTGCCATGGAGAAGGTGGCGTCCAGAACCTACCGGCTACGGCTAGAGGCTGCCAGGCCTGGTGACGCAGGCACCTACCGCTGCCTCGCCAAAGCCTACGTTCGAGGGTCCGGGACCCGGCTTCGTGAAGCAGCCAGCGCCCGCTCCCGACCTCTCCCAGTGCACGTGCGGGAGGAAGGTGAGTGGGGGATGGGGCTCGTAGAACCCTTTTCTTCTGTTTCCACGGCCCCCTCTCCTTCTGCATCAGTTGCCTCCACACCTCAGTCCCACACTCCTAAGACTGCCAAGACTGTGGGAAACACCCTGAGTTTGCTGGGCATTGCTTGGACAGCAGCCCTAAGCCCATGCCCCCTGACCCTTCCCCTCTGACCCTATGTCCTCTGTTCTGCAGGTGTGGTGCTGGAGGCGGTGGCATGGCTAGCAGGAGGCGCTGTGTACCGGGGGGAGACTGCTTCCCTGTTGTGCAACATCTCTGTGCGGGGCGGCCCCCCAGGGCTGCGGCTGGCTGCCAGCTGGTGGGTGGAACGACCTGAGGATGGGGAGCTGAGCTCAACGCCTGCCCAGCTGGTGGGTGGCGTGGGCCAGGACGGTGTAGCAGAGCTGGGGGTCCGGCCTGGAGGAGGCCCTGTCAGCGTGGAGCTGGTGGGGCCCCGAAGCCATCGGCTGAGACTACACAGCTTGGGGCCCGAGGACGAAGGTGTGTACCACTGCGCCCCCAGTGCCTGGGTGCAGCATGCCGACTACAGCTGGTACCAGGCGGGCAGCGCCCGCTCGGGGCCTGTCACGGTCTACCCCTACACGCATGGTGAGTGCCCCGCTTCCTTCCAGCCCCCTGCCCTTGCTCTTCCCTTCCCATCATCTGACCCTCCTGCTACCATCCTCTCTGTCCTCCCCATCACATGACATGAAGTCTGGAAAATCCAGCTTTCAGCCTGTCTGCACAGGTCTTCCTGGCCAATGCTGCGGGGCAGGCAGTGGGCAGGGAAGGGGTGTCTGTGAGTGGAGGAGGGGGGTCCAGAGAACCCGATGGGGAAAGTCTTGGAGACAAATGTGATGGAGTGGAAGATGATGGCACCCCCCGAACATAACCGTCTTCTCTCACACAGCCCTGGACACCCTACTTGTGCCCCTGCTGGTGGGTGCAGGGGTGGCCCTAGTCACCGGCGCCACCGTCCTTGGCACCATCACTTGCTGCTTCATGAGGAGGCTGCGAAAACGGTGATCCTCACTCCCCAGGTGAGGGAAAAGAAACCCCCAACCCTGTCTTCCTCAGGCTCCCCACCCCCAAGTCCCGGGCTGAGATGCTCCCTTCTGGGCCCAGCTAGAGGAGGAGCAGCCAGCTCAGTTCCACGGGGGCCTGTTAGCAGGTGAGGGCCAAGAAGGAGCCCCACACAGGGCGCTCTGCCCTTAGCCCACAGCACACTCTCTCTCCAGTTCTTGCAGGTGTCGACTGTCTTCAGCCTAGCTCCAAGCTCTCCTCTGGTCGCCCGGATACCCTCTCCCTCTGTCCAACTTCCTTTAATTTATTTGACCTCCCTCCACCCAGAGTGGGAGGCATGGCCCCCATCCCCCACTCCTTCCCCCCCACACCCCTCCCTCTGGACTTCTGTCTTGATCGCATACCCATCCTGCAGGGAGGCCATTCCCTGTCCTGGAATTAGTTTTTCTAAAATGTGAATAAACTTGTTTTATAAAATCCAGGCCTGGCTATATCTTCCCCTGCCATGAGGCTGTAAAAGGCTGGGGGTGTGTAGCTGGGAGGCTGTTGGGGATTGACAACCTATTCTGGACAACCCAGGCCTCTCTTCCCACCACAAATACCATCTGGCCTCCGTGGACCATGCCACCCAGCCCAGAGGGGACACCTGGGTTCCATCTGCTGCCTGAACTGTCAGTGCTGAGCTAACTCTGGACTGGACTCCTACTTGGGGATGGGGACAGAGAAAGGGAGGGTGGATTCCAGCTGAGCTTGGCACCCCACTTCCCTAGTCCCCTCGTATGCTGCAGGGCAGGGGCTTCCAGGGACAGGGCCCTTTCCAAGCTCCCCAGACTCCATCCCACTCTGCCTGTCTCATTCTCCTGGTCTGGCTGTCTTGGGCCTGACTCCTCCCACCAGGCCCTGGGGCCTCAGTCTTTTTCCTTCTGACCTTAATTATTCTGTCTGACAGCAGCAGAATAGGAGCCCCAGAACACAGCCACCTGGAGCCTGGGTGGCGGGGATTACATCAGTCAGGGCAGGGCCTGTGGGTGCACAGAGCCCTGCACCTGCATACACCCGCCCCCACAGCCTCCCCCCTCCCTCCCGCCTGCCAACTTCCCCACTCCTCCAGCACCCCAGGGGCTCCCTGAATTTCCTTGCCTAAGGATTCTCTGATCCTGAGATTCTTAGCTGCATTGCACCTTAAGAGGCATCCAGGCTACCTCTTCCAGTTCAGTTATTTAAACATTTATTGAGCATTACTAGTTTGCTAAGGATCATTTTTACAGATGAGGAAACTGAGGCCCAGAAAAGTGATGTGACTTGTCCAGAGTCATAGAACTAATTAGCAACAGTCCGTGTCAGGAATAGAACCCAGGTCTCCTGACTTTGCACTGTACAGTGGTGCCCTGAGTGGTGACAGTGGTGAAGAGAGGTGTGGCGAGGTCTCAGTGACTTCCAGGGGCAGGAGGGGCCTGCTCCAGCCTCAGTTTCTCTGCCTGTTCAGTTGCAGTGGGTTAACTACCGTGTGAGTGTGTGCGGATGCCACACAGCCCGCCCCCTCTTGTCTAGACTCCACCTGTGTCACTGAGTGAAACCCAAATGAGTCCCCATTCCCCAGCCCAACATCTGCTCCTGGGAACCAGCCAATGCCAGGGTTCAAGGACCTCATCTTTGGCTGAGGCTGACCCAGGTGGTCCTATGACTTGGGGCAAAGACGTTCATGCCTAGGCTGAAGGGAAGGGACTGGGGCATGGGTCCTCTCTGAGTGGACCCAAGCTAGGATGGGCTCCCTCCAGGACCCCCTTTCCTGCTTCCAGGAGATGCAGTGCCCCACGGGACCCTGGCTGCCCAGCCTGGAACAGAGCAGACCGGGGGCCTTCCCCCAAGGGGCTTGGACTTTTGTTAAAGGACAGGAGTGGGGTGCGGCCAGGACCGAGGGAGGAGGTCCTTGCTGGGACAGGGCTGCTGTGGGCCTGGGGCCCCCCGTCAGAGGTCATGTTTGCCCAGCCCATGCTTTCTTCAGAAGGCCAGCCTCAGGTGCCCCCGGCCCTCTGCCCCCCTTAACTTGTCACTGCTCTCCCTCACCATCCAGGGGGCTGCTGCTGGTGACTGGATTGAGACCAGGAAAGGGGTGACGGTGGGATGGGAATATATGTCTCCAGGGGCCCCGTCCCAGCTGGGCGGCAGCTGGCCACACACACATCCAGAAGTTTGGACTCCTCTTCTCTCACATCTCCTCCCACGTTCAGTCCTGCCTCTCTGTCCTGCAAGGGAGTCTACCCTTTGCCACCGAAGCCCTTCCTGCCCCGGCACCCCGCTACCTCCATAGGAATCCCCTTGAGTTCTAACTGCTCCATCCTGTCCCTCTGGCCCACTCCCCTTCCCAGATACCTCTTCTGCTGCCACTGCCCCTTTTCCACGGACAGTTGATTCCTGGGCCCAAAGTTAAACTCTTCAGCCTGGGCTTCCGGTCCCTTTTCCCACACATGGTACTCCACCCTTTACGTTCTCTGTCCCAGAGGGTCCTCAGCTTCTCAGCCACTCCCCGGCTTGTGTGCCCATCTCCTTTGACCACCAAGGCTTTGCTTAGAGCAACGGTTCTCAGAGTGTGCTCCCTAGTCCAGCAGCGGCACGATGACCTGGGAACTTGTCAGAAATGCAAATTTTTGGTCTCCACTCCAGACCTATTGAGGCAGAAACCCTGGGAGTGAGGCCCAGAAATCCGTGTTTTAACAAGCCCTCCAGGTATGTCTTCTAACTGCTGGCTTCCATCACCCCTTATTCAAGCCCCAGCTTTCTGATTTCCCAAACCCTCCCACCCTCTGCTCCAAGAGATTGCGCACGTTCTCAGTTTGGACCACATTGCACGTGTGGATTCCTCTGTTTTCCCATGTGCCCTATATTCCCAGGATAGGAACCAGGTCTTTGAATGTCCACTGCATGTGGCACCCAGTCAATGATTTGAATGACTCCTCCCCACTGTGACCCAGGAACAAACTCTGCTTTCCCAGGGACCTCCATGTCCTGGCTCTAGTGAACCCACTTTCTAGATCTCTCCCCTGGCTCTTCTTCCTCCTCAGAACCTCTCTCTCTCTTTCTGCCTCTGCAGTGGTATCTCTCTCTCCACTGTTGGAAAATAGCCACCCCTGCCCTCCTTTCCCAGCCCGGTTCCCGGGCCCCAGCTCCAGCATCTCCCCCCACGGCCTGCTTCCCTGCACCCGCTCGTGGACTAAGCTCCCCCTTGCAGCCCTTCGCCCTCCTGTGCAGCCTGTCACAGTGGTAGGGGTGGAGCTGGGAGGGCACCTCCTCATCTGTGCCACCTCTGCCCAGCTCTGTCTCCTCTGGCTCGGCTTGGGCCACTGTGTCCAGTTAGACAGGTGTGCCATACCCAGGGAGGCTGGCTGAAGAGGCGAGTGGGTTCTGCAATCCATCCCACACTCTGTTCCCCAAGCCATGCACCCTGGTTTGAGGCTGCATCTGTCCGGAGGAAAAGGTGCCTTCTAAGATTTGCACCAAGGTGCTCTAAGGGTTAGCAGCAGCCCTGAGTGTACTAACCATCCATCGGTCCATTTACGGATCCCGTCAGCTGTCTCTACCTGCCACCACCTTCCCCTCCAGCCCCCATAAGTCCATCCTTCTGTCCATCCATCCGCCCATGAACAGATGTGAAGGTCAAACACAGACAGACTTGTACGTTCACCCATCCCCACCCTCCATTTTCCTGAAATCAGGACCCATCCCTTCCACAGTGGATTCTAGACTCAAGGTTCTGAAGGGGCCTCTCCAACTTCAGCACATTTCCAGGGACCTTGCCTGCCTCCTCCTCCACCTCTGATATCCAGCTCCCAGGTACCTGTGTCTGGCCCCCGGTCTGCCACAGGGGTCTGGAGGAAACTGGTCACACCTTGGACTCACTCTCTGGGGGTGGCAGGCAGCCGTTCTGCTCCTTGTCAGCCCCAGCTTCCCCACCGGCCCCCTCCCCTGCCCCCTCCTCCTCCACCTTCTCATCCAGCCGGCTGGGGATGGACCAGTAGAGATGGGCGTCGAGGCGGGCCGCGGCCTCTGCCAGCTCCCGGGCACTGCACGAGGGCGTGGGCACCTCAAAGGTCTCGTGGAAGCTGGCATAGTCCACCTCGTAGAAGCCGTCCTCCAGGGTCAGCACTGACGTGAAGCGGTGGCCCCACAGCACCTCGTCCACCAGGTAGGAGCTCCGAGCTTGGCATGTCATTCCTGGGGGGAAGGGCACAGTCAGGAGGATCCCAGCCCCAGGCTTCCTTCTCCTGCCTCTCATTCTGCAGCCCTATTCCCAGCACCCCTCCCCACCCCAACCCTCCCCAAGGCCCCCCACCTCCCTCTGGTTCGGCCCATCTTCTCCCCCTCCCCAACTCCTGTGCTTGCTAGCTGCCTCACCTCTTCTCTGTTTCCTACTCCTCTTAATCTCCAGCCCTGCTTCCCTTGACCCTCTCCTTTGCTGATGCCAACCAGAGAAACTCAACCTTGAAACTAACCTTAGGGATCATCTAGTCCAACTTCCCACTCCATACAAGGCTGCCCACTGGAGCATTCCCAACAATGGGCATCTAACTTGTGCTTGATTACCTCCCAGGATTGTCAGCTCATCACCTCATAAGGAGCCCACTCCTGTGTGTGATGGCTCTAATAGTTGGATTGCTTGTCTTTGTGCAGAGCTAAAATTTGCCTCCTGGGATTTCCACCCCTCTGTTTCATTCCCCTCCCAGTTGACATGCCTTTGAGTATCCGAAAACAGGAACTTCAGGTTCTCTTGTGTCTTCTCTTTTTCACTGAACATCCCTGGCTCCTTCCACCATTCCTCATTTGATCTGGCTTCCAAAAATTTTACTTTCTTGAATGCAAGCCAGAATGGCCAAGGAGGACCCTTTAAGTACTTTGAGTGTGGTAAGTTCTCCAGTTGTGGTCTGATCTATGCATTAGAGAAGGCTCACCATCTCCCCTGGCTATGATGTTTTAACTAATAGGGCCCGAGATTACATTACATAAACATTTTTGGAGGCTGCATCACATTGCTACGACATCAAGCCTGTGGCCAACTAAAACCCCCAGTTCTTTTTTCACCAGAGCTCTTCCATGCTGTGCTTACATAAGTGATTTTTTAAAAGCCTAAATGTAGAATTTTATATTTATTCCTTTTAAATGTCATCTGGTTGGGTTTTGGCTCATTATTCTTGCTTTTCAAAAGCATTTTGAATCCTGACTCTCTCACCCAAAATATTACCATCCTTTCCAGCTTTATCTCTCTAGAAAAATCAGACACTCTTCCATCTCCCTCTTCTCCACCCCACCCTCCCCAGTCCTCCTTGCCCTGGGCCTGTGTCCTGTTTTCCCTGTTGGGTCAGTGCACACCCCAGGGCAGGTCATTCTCCTCCTACCCCAGGGTCTCTCCCCCAACCCATGGCCATCTCAGAGCGAGAGGGAAGAGAAGAGTGAACATTTGCTAACCAGAGAGGCTGGCTCTCAACATGGAAAGCCTGGCCCTGAGACATCCTGGGGACATTGGTATTCTCTGATGAAGGCTGGAACAGGAGGTGTCCAGTGGGAGCGGGGAAGAAGAGGCATAAGGGACATGGGGAGAGAGGGGCTGAGAGGAAGAGAGGAAGGGGCTGGGAGTACAAAGGGAAAAGAGGGCCAGGCAGGAACTTCCCTGGAAGAAAGGGGCCTGCCTGAGATACTGGCAAAAAAGGAGTGACAGCTGGAGAGAGGAAGGGAAGGGAATGGGGTGTGTGGGGGAGGGGAAATAGCTCAGGGGAGCCCCATCGGGGTGAAGGAGGAGTGGGGAACATTAAGGGGCGGTTGGGGTGGGAGTGTGAAGCTGGGGCTCAGCGTTAAGGACGGGAAAGGACCTGAAGGCACCAGCTTGCAGGAGAAAAAAGCAGGGAGCATCAGAGGCAGGAAATGCAGCGCCCCCTAGTGGGCCGTTGGTTCTCCACCTGCAGTTTCCTTATCCTCATCCGACTTCTAGGTCTCAAGTCGCAAGAGATCGCATTTGTAGGTCTTATGCTGGTCTTTTCCTACCTGTTCCGAACCTTCACTGTGTCTGAGTGGGAGGTACTGACATCACAGGTGATTTGCCAGTTCCCTTTTGGGAAGGGGCTAGAAATGGTAGTATCATCTGTTTCCCTTGTCAGTGGATACCGAGAGTCTTTTGATGAATGGGGAAACTGAGGCAGAAATGAGACCAGGCAGGTATTAACCTCTCCTTAAAGTTCAGCCTAGGAATAACTCAGGCCATGGAAAACCTTCACCGTCAAATTCCAGGGGCCTGGATCTCTGTGAAAAGAGAAAAATTCTGACCTAACTCCTCCATCCTACTTCCCTAAATCCTGAAGCCAGACCACCTGTCTCCAATCCGCGCATGGCCACTTATTGGCTTAGGACAGTGGTCAATATATTGAACATTTCCTTAGGGGCAATCTCATCTCTTAAAAATGAGCATAATGACAAGAAATTACCCTCAGAGGATTCTTGCTAGGATTAAATGAACTCAGAGCTGTAAAGTGCTTTTGGAACTATGCACTACACGGCTATCATTACCACTCTTCCTATTCCGAGTGACACATAAACTCTCAGCCCAGGGCCCCAAGCCAGCGCCATCTAGTAGAATTCCTCCAAGCTTTCTCTCGGCCCTCTGCGGAGTCACTCAGTTCGTCCCCACACCCCCAGCTCCCACCCAGGTCCCCCTACCTCACGTCCCCTCTCATCCTCCACCAGCCTTTCCATCCACCCTCCCTTCCCCTGGCCCCTCTTCTTGCCCCTGCCTTCCTCTGCCCTGCCCACCCCCTGCCAATCCCGCTCCCCTCGTCGGGCCCGCCCGCACCAGTGGCTTCCACCATGCCCTCGAGGATGACGACGATCTCGAAGTCGTCCCTCTCCAGGGCGCGGCGTGACGCTTCCCAGAAGGGGCTGGCGGCGTCGATCTCGTGGCTGATGACGAGTGGCGAGACGAGGAAGAGGCGGTCGTCGCCCGTGTCGAAGCCCACGCTGAGGTCGGTCTGGTGCAGCGGGATGAACTCGCCCTCCAGCGTCTGGCGCGAGCGGATGAGCTTGGCGCGGATGGAGGCCTCGACGATGTGCGAGGAGCGCAGGTCGCCCACGCGGAACATGAGGCAGAGGCGCCCGTCGCGCAGCGACACCACCGCGTGCGAGGAGAAGACGAGCGTGGCGGCGCGCTTGTTGGGCTGCGAGATCTTGACGAACATGCAGCCCACCATGAAGGCGTTCACCATGGAGCCCAGGATGGCCTGCAGCAGCAGCAGCACGATGCCCTCGGGGCACTGGTCGGTGATGACGCGGTGCCCGTAGCCGATGGTGGTCTCGGTCTCGATGGAGAAGAGGAAGGCGGCCACGAAGCCGTTGAGGTTGTTGACGCACGGCGTCCACGCGGTGTCCTCCAGGTGCTCCAGGTCGCCGCGGCCGTAGGCGATCAGCCACCAGATGGCGCCGAAGAAGAGCCAGGTGAGCGCGTAGGCGAGCACGAAGAAGAGCAGGCTGAGGCGCCACTGCAGGTCCACGAGCGTGGTGAACAGGTCGGTCAGGTAGCGGTACGTCTCGCGCACGTTGCCGTGCTGCACGTTGCAGCGGCCGTCCTTCTCCACGTAGCGCTGGCGGCCGCGGCGGCGCGGCGGCTCCTCGGCCGCGGGCGAGAAGGCGGCGTTCTCCTGCGCCATGGCGGCGGCGGCGGCGGCGGCGGCGGCGTCAGTGCGAGCGCTGCGGACACCCGCAGAGCGCTGGGGGCCCGGGCGGCCGCCGCCCGCGGCCCCTCGCTGGGCGCCTCGGTGGCGCCGGGGGTCCTGGAGGGACTTAATAAAGATTTGCCGAGTTAGTGGACCCGCGGGAGAGGGGTATGCGGGAGACATCAGGGCCCGCGCCGGGTGCCGGGTGACCCTGGGCGAGTCCCTTTGTGTCTCTAAGCCTCCATGTCCGCATCAGTAGAATGGGAGCAATACATACAGCCTAGCTGCTCCCCCACGCTCAAAAAGTTGTGAGGATCAGATGGGATAATGTGAGTGAACTGAATAGCACTATGCAAGTTCGATGATGATTTCCCGGGGAAGGAGGTACCAGAGATCCTGGTGCCACCACCTCTAGCTGGGGTGTGCAGCACCTCACAGGCATTCCGAGGCAGAAGACCCAGGCCGGGAGGGAGTTTCATGAAACCGTTAGACTGGGGGCTCTTTGGGGCAGGCGGTTAATTCTTTTCTGCTGTGTGGAGCCCTCCCTGCCCTAGGGACTTCTGCCCTCCTTTCCCTGGCTGGTGTCAGTGCAGCCCCCCATGACTGCTCCCGCAGTGCAACCTGCAGGTCTAACCAGGCTCTTTTGAAGTTCACCCCAAGATTGACCCACAGAAATTCTTTCCCATTCTTCATCCCTGGATCTCACTCACTCTACACCCTCCCACATCTTCCTCCTCTCAACAAGCTGACAAAGGAGAGAGATGGGAAGCTGTGGAGAGCAAGGGCTGAACATTAGGAAATTGCCCCTGGAAACCCTGAGTCCTAACCATGATCGCTGCTGCCCTTGCGTCAGCCCATTTCCCCTGGGTGCTTCCCCAGTGGAGACAGCCTGAAAATGGGGAGGGGGATTAGAGGATATGAGATCAGCAGAGACAGCTGGGGGAGAGGAAGCACAGAGTTCATCGAGAGTTAGGTTTGTATCCCTCTAGTATCCTATTCTTGAGACACATGAGATCAGACCAAGTGAAGCACTAAGCACCCACATTTATTTCCCCACCCCTTCTAGTTGGTTTCCCCCAGCCTCCTACTTCCCATTGACTATCCTAACATCAGCCCGCCCCCACCTGCCATATGCCCCAAAGCCCACATTCCAAGCGAAGTGCACCTGATTTTGTTTTAAATTCTCCCTGAGGAGCTCTCCGTGCTGCAATCTGCCCGGGGAGAGGTCCAGAACCCTTCATTAGGCACCCAGGACCCCCTAGAATAAGGATTTGGGACTCTTCAACCTTCCTTTCTCTTTCCTGGGAATCATTCTCTTCCCCCACTCCAAGGAAACCTGGGATGAAGCGAGGGGGGTGGGGTGGAGGACGGAGGAGTGTGACATAAGGATCACACAGATGGTCTGCATGTTTGACCAGGTCCTGGGGAGAAACTGCCTGGATATGTGACTCTAAACCCCGCACTCCTGAATTTTAGTTATGGAGTGAGGTGCTCTGCAGCCAGACCTTTGGGGCAGTGGTGTGTGTGTATTGGGGTAGACAGCAGGAAGACAGACCAAAAAGAGACGGCTTAGAGCTTAGGGGCACCCCCTACGTTTATTTTCCATGGAGTCAGGGGACATGGAGTCCAGGAGCCCCATGACAATGACAGATTAGGGTCTTCCTCTCCCCCAACAATGGGCTTCCTTTTCCATCCCTGCAGCTCAGGATGTCCTCGGAAGTGATCTCTAAGCTTTAACTGGCTCAGAGACCCCAGGTCATGCAGGAAAGTACCCGGATCTCATTCATCCTAGTTTTAGCTCCATGTGGGCTTCCGGATGTTCTCTCAGGGTCTTAGGTAATCTGACCCCCAGTCGGCTGCTTAGTTCTTTCTGCCCGGGGATGCGGAAGGGACCCCAACATCTGATCACCCCCAAAACTCTCACTCTCCATTGCCCTAGGGATCTAGGTAAGCCTTATCTTGATTGTGTCCCATCTCCTATCTTCCTGAGTGAAGGGCTGCATTTTTCTCACGGGGAAGGAAAGGTGTGAAAATGTTCCCTCTATCCCAAGATCAAGGACTTGATTGCTGCATCTTCCCTCCAATAATTCCAGTTCCTCCAACCTACTCCTTCTCATTTCTTGTGCATGCTATGACCCCTGTCCAGAAGATCCCAGTGCCACATTTTCCTGGACCCCTTCTCCTCCCACTAGAGAGTGCTGGCCAGCAAGGGGGCTTATCTTTTGGAAGGAGATCTGGTGAAAACTCCCTCAGGAACCAGCTCCTCCCAAACCCCCACTTGCCTTGGAAATAGGGGCCCAAACCCCAAGTCCCCCACAACTCAACTCACAGCACGTGGAGAGGAGAGTAGCCGGCAGCAGAGACCCCTGGGGGGTGGCGTCCATGCCCCTGACACCGCCCCCCCACGGGCCCCCTTGGAGGGTGGGAGCCGCAGACACCGCTGTTTCTCCTAAACGTAGCGGCAGCTCTGACTAGGACTTGCTATCTGTGTCATCCCCACTTCCCAGGCTCCCCTGCTCCTCTCTCGTTTCCACGGTAACCAGTCTGGCGACAGCTCCAGAGCATCCCCCTCCCCTCCCCAGTCCTGGGTACCACTAGGGCCTGATCCACACGCCATAGCTATTTTTAGTCAAAGTCCCTCCTCCTGGACAACTCAGAGCTCTCCTCTTCACCCTCTCAGAGAAAAAAAAAGAAAGAAAGAAAATCAAAGCTGGCATGCTGGCTCTTTCCTAAGAAGCTCCTTGTTTTGGGAAACATGAGCTCTGGTGTGCTTGGGAATAAGGTATTTGGTTTCCTGGGGTTTCAGAGGGCCACCTGGGAGCTGGCGGCTCACCACCTCCAACAGGGGCTCTCTGGGGGCAGGTGCTGCCCTTAAGTCAGGGCCACCATCACAGTCTCCATTTTTGGAGAGGCTGCTGATCCAGAAGGAGGTAGCTAGAGGGAAAGAGACCACCGGAGGAAGGGAGGCAAGGTCAGGGGTTCTAATCTTTGCTGATAATTTGTGATGTGACCCATAGAAATCACATCACTTCTCTGAACCACAGCCGTTCCTTGTTTCCCAGAGTGTAGACATGTGCAAATACCCCCTTTCTGCCTGCTTCACAGGGTGTGCAGATGAAATGAGACAATATAAATGGTAGGGCTTTGAAATGTATTTTGTTACTAGCAAAAAGTCTAGAGACAACTCAAATGTCCAGCAGACAGAAAAGCCTAGGTTAGGGCTTACTATCCACTCAGGAAACTTTTGTGGTGTCCAAGTGCCAGGCAATGTGCTAGATGGGTGCTTACAGAAATGAGTAAGTCCCTGCCCAGGAAGGGCTCCTGATCCCATGGGGGGAGAAAGACACAAACACACACTGGGGCTTCTACTAACTCACTGGGCATCAGCTATGAGCGACACACACGCTTCTTTTCATCCCACGACGACCCTATGAGATAGAGATTATTTTTCCCAGTTAGAGATGAGGAAACCAAAACTGAAAAAGGTTAAGTGATTTACCTTGACCTGAGAGTCACAGAGTTGGACAGAGACATCAATCAAGCTCCCACATCTGTATCATGCCTGAGCTTTTTTTTTTAAGACTATTTTTTTTAGAGCAGTTTTAGGTGCCCAGCAAAATCGAGAGTGAGGGTACAGAGATTTCCCATATGCCCCCTGCCCCCACACTTGCACAGCCTCCCCCATTGTCAGCTTCCTCACCAGAGTGGCACATTTGTTACAACTGATGAACCTGCATTGCCACATCATTGTCACCTGAAGTCCATCGTTTACGTTAGGATTCACTCTTGGAGTTGTACAATCTATGGGTTTGGACAAAGGTGCAATGACCTATATCCACCATTATAATATCATACAGTGTAGTCTGTATAGCATTATATTATTAATATGATATATTAATCTTCCCTAAAAGTCCTCTGTGCTCTGCCTAGTCGTCCCTCCCTCCCTACTAACCCCTGGCAACCACTGATCTTTTTACTGTCTCCACGGTCCTGCTTTTCCCAGAACGCCACATAGTAGGGATTGTACAGTATGTGGCATTTCCAGATCGGCTTCTTTCACTTAGTAACATGCATTTAAAGTTCCTCCATGTCTTTTCATGGTCTGGTAGCTCATTTCTTTTTAGCACTGAATAAACATTCCATTGTCTGGATGTACCACAGTTTATTTATCCATTCACCTCCTGAAGGACATCTTGGTTGCTTCCAAGTTTTGGCAATTATTAATAAAGCTGCTGTAAACATCTGTGTGCAGGCTTTTTTGTGGACACAAGTTTTCATCTCCTTTGGATAGATACCAAGGAGCATGATTCCTGGATTGTGTGGTAAGAGTATGTTGTTTTCTAAGAAACTGCCAGACTGTCTTCCAAAGTGGGTGTACCATTTTGCATTCCTATCAGCAATGACTTTTTTTTCCTGTTGCTCCACATCCTGGCCAGCATTTGTTTTTGCCAAACTCATGCTCGTTTCACAAAGTTACACTGCCTCGGTAATGCAATATCTGCGGCATATTGATATAATAGGTTACTGTAAAGCCATTGTAATTACTATGCTCATATATGTGAATGTGTATATAAACACACTAGTACATTAAAAAGAAGAACATAAAATATTCTTATGAATCAATCATAACTATATAGAAAAATAGCTGCAGTTACACTGATAAAAATCAGAAAAAATTTGGAGAAATGGCAAATGTTAATTTTCCCCCAGGAGAATAATTAAAAGCAGAGAGTGGTGCAGAAATGCAAGGTGGTAGTGGTGCTGTTATCGGTATTATTAGCCCCAAAATATCAATCTACTCTTCTCCAGTTCCCTTAGAGTTGGAACAAGAAAATATGAGCTAGAGGAGCAGGAAGACATAGAAACAGACACTGGAGGGCTAGAAGTTCCTGGAATGAGCTGGGAGGGTGGGATGGGGATACTGAATAACATAACCTTGGGAGGCAATGACTTGGGTTCAAATCCCAACTCAGTCTACTGCTATCTGGGTGACT